AAGAGAGAGAGATAGAGATAGGTTAAGAGAGTAGGCAAAAATGTGGCAAATGGAGACTACAGGGGGATAATGGTTGGAAAAATGAAAATGAAGTGGATTATCCAACTGGTGACAGATTTAAGAACCCTGAGATACAGAGGGATCTGGATGTCCTAGTATAGGAATTGCTAGTTCAGCGAGGTCTTAGGAAATTAATATGATTTAATCATTTATCACAAAATGATGGGGTGGCACTGTGGCTCAGTGGTTAGCACTGCTGCCTCACAACACCAGTGACCTGGGTTCAATTCCACCCTTGGGTGACTGTCTGTGTGGAGTTTGCACATTCTCCCCATGTCTGCATGGGTTTCCTCCGGTTTCTGCCCACAATCCAAAGATGTGCAGGTTAGGTGGATTGGCCATGCTAAATTGCCCTTAGTTTTTGGGATGTGTAGATTAGGTGGTTTATAGGGGGATGGGTCTGGGTGGGATGCTCTGAGTGTCAGTGTGGACTTGTTGGGCCGAAGGGCCTGTTTCCACACAGGGATGATGATGAAATGCTTAAAAAAAGGATTGAACTCAAAAATAGGGAAAGATCAGTTTTGGGGAGACAAGATGTGAAGTACTGTGCACCATATTGGCTCTAAGGAAGACAGTAAATGCATTGGAAGCAGTTCAGAGTGTATTTACAGGGACAATTGAATCATGTAAGATCCTGAGGGGCTTGACTGGGTGAATACGGAGAAGATTCTTGTAGGAGAGTCTATTTCAGTAGAATCCCTGCAGTGTGGGAATAGGCCATTCAGCCCACATTGCCCTCTTAAGAGCATCCCACCCTGACTCATTCCCCTACCCCTGCATTTCCCCATGTCTAACCCAAACATCCCTGGGCACTATAGCACAGCCAATCCACCCACCCTGCATACCTTTGGACTGTGGGAGAAAATCCAAGTAGACATGGGGAGAATATGCAAACTCCAGACAGATAGCCACCCGAGGGTGGGATTGAACCCAAGTCCCTGGTACTGTGAGGCAGCAATGCTAACCACTAAGCCACCATGCCACCCTAGAACTAGTGAATAAAAAACTCCAAAGAACTGCAGATGTTGGAAATCTGAAACAAAAGCAGAAATTGCTGGAGAAACTAAGCAGGTCTGGCAGCATCTGTGGAGAGAAAGCAGACTTAACATTTCAGGTCCAGTGACTCTTCTTCCAAAGAAATTAGAGGTTAAGATACTTAAGACAGATGATTTTTTTTTCCCTCAGTCATGAGACTTGGAGCTCTCGTCTTGAAAAGATGATGATTGCAGAGTCCTCACAAATTTTTTGAGGCAGAAGTAGACAGATTCTTGTTAGACGTGTGGGTGAAAGGTTATTGGAGGTAGGCAACACTCTGGATTTGTGGTTACAAGCAGATCAGCAATGAACTGATTGAATAGCAGACCAGCCTTGAGAGACTGAATGGCCTTACACTGAACCTTGTTATAGTGTAAATCAATGCCATAAGACCCTAGAGTTAGGAGCAGAAGTAGGCCATTTGGCCCATCAAGTCTGCTGTAACATTCAGTGCGATCATGTGTGATCTGGTAATCCTCAACCCCACTTTCCAATCTTTTCCCCATAACCCTTGATTCCCTTAATGATTAAAAATCTATCTATTTCAGCTCTGAACTTACTTAACGACACAGCCTCAATAGCCCTTTCAGGTAAGGAATTGCACAGATTCACTACCCTCTGAGTCAAGAAATTCCTCCTCATCTCTCTTGAAATGTGTGACCCCTTACTGTGAGATGATGCTGTCTGGTGTTATAGGTTATGTCTGGATATAGGTTAAACCAGTTGGAGTTGGGATAAGATATTTTTTCACCTATAGAGCAGTGAGCCTGTGGAATTTGCTACCATAGAAAACAGTCAGAGCTAAAACGTTGTGGTTTCAAGGAGGAATTGGATGTAGCACTCGAGGTTGAAGTTTCAAGAGATAGGAGGGAGAAGCTGGAACAAGGTATTGAATTCGATGATTAGCCATGATCATAATGAATGATGGAGCAGGCTTGAAGGACCAAATGGCCTACTCCTGCTCCTATTTTATAATGTCTCCATGTTTCATTAATGTTCAGTTTCAGTAGCGCCAAGGCCACTCGGCTCCTGACCTCATTATAGCCTTGGCTGATACATGAATGAAAGAGCTGAATACAGAGGTATGGTGACAGTAACTACCCTTGACTTCAAGTTCACATTTGACCGAATGTGGCATCATGGAGCATGAGCAAAATTGGAGTCGATAGGAATCAGGGAAAACCTCTCTGTTGGTTGCAGTCATATCTGGCACAAGAGAAGACAGTTGTGATTGTTGGAGGCCAGTTATCTTATTTCCAGGAAATCTCTCACTTCCTCAGGGGAGTGTCCTAGACCCAACCATCTTCAGGTGCTTCATCAATTATCTTCCTTCCAACATAAGGTCAGAAGTGGGGATGTTTGCTGATGATTGCATAATGTTCAGCACCATTTACAACTCCTCAGATCCTGAAGCAGTCCGTGTTCAAATGCAGCAAGACATGGACAATATCTAGGCTTGGGCTGAAAAGTGGCAAGTAACATTGGAACTACACAAGTACGAGGCAATGACCACCTCCAACAAGAATCTAAGCACCACCCTCTGACATTTGGTGACATTACTTTTACTAACAACATCGTAGTTGTTACCATGGACCAGAATCTGAACTAAATGTCATGTGTACCAGAGCAGGTCAGAGACTAAAATCCTGCAGCAAATAACTCACCTCCTGACTCCCTAAAGCCTGTCCACCAACTATGAGGCACAAGTCAGGAGTGTGATGGGATACTCTCCACTTGCCCGGATGGGTGCAGCTCCAACAACACTCCAGAAACTTGACACCATCCAGGACAAAGCAGCCCGCTTGATTGGCACCACATCCACAAGCATTCACTCCCTCCACCACCGACGCTCAGTAGCAGCAGTGTGTACTATTTACAAGATGCACTGCAGAAATGTGCCAAAGATCCTTATACAGCACCTTCCAAGCTCACAATCACTTCCATCTAGAAGGACACGGGCAGCAGAGACAAGGGAACACCAACCCCTGCAAGTTCCTGTCCAAGCTACTCACCATCCTGACTCAGAAACATTTCGCTATTCCTTCATTGTCACTGGGTTAAAATCCTGGAACTGCCTACACCAAATGGACTGCAGCAGTTCAAGAAGGCAGCTCACCACCGCCTTCTCCAGGGCAACTAGGGATGGGTAATATATACTGACACAATCAGCAATGCCCACATCCCATGAATGGATTAAAAAGAAGTCAAAGATTTTCATCTTGCATGCATCTGAAATGTAATGGGTTTGTTTTTGCGTGTCCCAGTCCTGATGAGCACAAAATAAAAAATGTTGACTTCATGTCTCTTTTCAGCGGTTTTTAAGTTCTAAACAACCAAACCATTATTGGTTAGGATCTAGTTTCTGCTACAATGCTGGGCAGGAGAGACAGGTAAGAAAGCAAGGTCCAACCCTTGCTGTTTCATTTAGACTGCGACATGGGGAGAGTGAAGTGGGCCCAAGTCAAGGAGTTCAAGCTGCCTGCAGTAGAAGTGACTCTATTTTTAGAGCCTGAATATCTGTTAATTCAAGTCTTCCTAAGGCAACAGGTGTTGATTCATTTCTTTTCCGTACAAACTGTAGTCTCAGCACTTCAGCACACCTTTGCACTTTGCTTGTCATGTCCTCTTAATCACGGACTGAGTTCAAAGTTAGAATCAACCAGCAATCACATGGGATGTGGCTGCACTGATGTGGCATCCAGCAATTGCTTTCATTGGGTATATAACGTGGTTGACAGCTTCGCTTTTTTACTTGTGGCATTGACTTAAGAAAAGCTTAATTTACAAATACAGACACTGCCTTGATAATATTCACACTGCTGCAGTGATTCAATATTTGATTGTTCACTTTTTGTGTTGGTTTCCTATCCTATACAGACCTCACCCCCAGGGATGATGATTTATTAACACTCGTTTACATATGTTTATTAGGATACCCAGAAATTGACATCCACCCAGGATCAATTAAGGCTTCGGTCTGCAGACTCCTGAGCCAAGAATAATTAGCTGCATTGAACATTTCTTATCTGTGGATCAAAATTTAAGTGAGTTCCACTCCTGCCACTTTATGGGTTCATATTGGGCTGCTTGACAACCTGTAACTAATTTCTCCAGAACTTATTTTTTTGCAAACAAAAGCTTTAAACTTCTGCCAGTCTCTCAGTTTTTGGAGATACCAGCTGGGCACTGTTCCACTGCATCCAGGTAGTTAAAACGGAAATTCAAGCCCTCAGTATGCCCTTTGGGGATAGAAAATATGAACAGTCATGAGTTCAACCCTTCCACAGTAGCTGGGGAATTTAACTAATTCATTAGTGTAGGAAAAACCAATAACTCTGAAACTTCTGGATTATTGTAAAAATCCACTTGGTTAACTAATATCCTTCAGGAACAGAAATTGGTTGTCTATATTCGGTCTTGCCTATGAGTGACTCCAGACCCACTTCAATAAGGTTGACTCACTGTAACAAACCACTACAGTGGGTGGACCTTGATTACATGAGCTTCCAGAAACTGGCTCAACACCACCTCCTCAAGGGGCAATTAAAGATGGGCAACAAGTGCTGGCCTTCACAGCAAGCTGTCACATTCCTTTGAAGGAATGGAAAAAAATGTTCACTGCTCCGGAAGATTGAAGTAACTTTACCCGATATTGAAACACATTACTTGGCAGGTAATTATTTTAGGAATTTGGATACGAGGCTGAGGACTGCTTATAGGTGTTTAAAGTACACGGGCCACATAAGCAATTAGCCAAGGTGTCTAAGTTGAGACCGAACTCCAGCCAAATCTCCACTCAGAGTGACCTTTAGACTATTATAGCAATGAGCTCATCTCAGATAAAAAGGTGAAGGTTAAAAGTCCAAATGGGACGGTGATTAGAAAGAGCCGGTGCTGTGGTGAGGGACATACGTTCTGAGCTTTGGAGGTGCTTTACCTCAGTCTTCTGCCACCTCTTTGTTTAACTAGCTTTGCTTCACCATGAGAGGTGGGGCTGTGATTGTACTGTGCCTGACCGTAACCACAGTGCTTTCCGAGGAAATCGTCAACACCACAGCCACAGACCAGGATGACCCGAGCACCGACTCAGACTGGGGCATTGGATCCATCCGAGACAGCTTCGAAGCCATAAACGGATACTTTGACTCATTCCTAGAGTTGCTCGGTGGCAGGAATGGAGTCTGTCAGTACAAGTGCCGATATGGTGAGTGTCATCGGCAAGTGAATCGGGTAACCATTAGCCTGGATATCGTTGGACAGGTGAAAAAGGTGGACGAGAGAGGATTTAGACAGCCTTTGCAAGATGATGAAGTGGTTAAAAATGCATGTAGTACACTTTAGAAATTTGAATAGTTAGACAGTTGTTGTTGACTGGCACAGAGGCGATGGGCTGAAGGATATTTTTCTGTGCTGTAGATCTCTGCAACTCTGATGGAAAGCCAGAAACGGAAGTGAGGAAGAAGGGCCTGCCCAAGTAAAACAAGACACAGAAATTGCCTTTATTAGTTGAGGCACAGAGTTTAAGAGCAGAGAGGTGATTCTGCAACCGTAAAAAATGTTGGTTGGGCCAGAGCGAGAGTACTGTGTGCAGTTCTGGAATCCACATTATAGGAGGGCTGAGATTGCACTGGAGAGTGTGCAGAGGAGATTCATCAGGATGCAGTCTGGACTAGAGAGTTTCAGTTATGAGGAGAGATTGGATAGACTGGGTTTGCTTTTCTTACAGCAGTTAAAACTGAGATGAGACATGATTGAGATGTATAAAATTATGATGGCTATAGGCAGGGTTGACAGGAAGAAACCGTTCCCTTTTTGATGGAGAGATCAATGACTAGGGGTGTGGGAGTTACATTGAAGGTAAAGGGCAGGAGGTTTAGAGGAATGTGAGGAAAAACATTTTCACACAGACATTGGGGGGAATCTGAAACTCCCTGCCTGTAAGGGTGGCAGAGCCAGAAATGTTGAAAAAATATCTGGATGGGCAATTGTCATGCCAAGGCAAACAAGATTATAGGCCAAGTGCTGGAAAACGAAGTTAGAATAGTTAGATGGTTATTGTTGATTGGCACAGAAGCGATGGGCTGAAGGACATTTTTCTGTGCTGTAGACCTCTGCAACTCTGATTGAAAGCCAGAAACAGAAGTGGGGAAGAAGGGCCTGCCCAAATAAAACAAAGACACAGAAATTGCAAAAAGCTAGCAACCAGCAAGAGTGCCTGTACTGCTCTGAGACTGATTTTAGAAAAATATAATTGAACAGAAAAACCGGAGACCCAAACAAATGCAACTCCGTGATCTCTTCAAGTCATTTTCCAGTTTGGGATTACTCTGTTTCTTTTTCCTGAAATGTTGTGATTTGTGTTTGATTAATCATTAACCCTCCTAAAAAGAATTTCATTTGTGTTTGAGGGTTCAAGAACCCAAGGGTGAGAAAAAACAAACAGAAGTTGGAAAATGTTACAAAATGACGAGTAGAATCTGATTAAAGCAAGAAATCACTTTGGAAGTGGGTAATATTCTTCAAAGGTGAAACCAAGGAATGAAGTTTATGTTTGTGAGGGTGACTAGTGTTTGCATTTTGTATAAATTCAGTACTTATGTTTACAACTGTGGTCCTGTGTGTCTGTCTGTTAGTGAACTGGATATGTATGTAGTTACTGATATATGTATCAGTAATTCACCAAGGCTCGTTTGACAGTACCAGGGGTGGTGATGATGTAGTGGTAATGTCACTGGTCTAGTAATCTAGAGCCCAAGGTTAATGTTCTCAGGACTTAGGTTTAAATTCCACCGTGGAAGATGGTGAAATTTGAATGCAACAAATCCGGAATTAAAAGCTGTTCAAAAAACTGAGCTAAACACGGAAATGTCTGGACAAATGACTAAAAGCTTATCCAATGACAACTATGTTGTTGTATCAACGTATTTGGTTTATTAATATTTTTTTTAGGGCAGGAAATCTGGCCCATCTGTGACTCCAGGCCAATAGCAATGTGGTTGAATCTTACCTGCCCTCTGAAATGGCCTACAGAGCTAATCAGTTCAAGGGTATTTTAGGGATGGACAATAAATACCAGCCTTGCCAGCAACACCAACATCTTACACAAGAATAAAGGACTTTCCAAATCTGGGACTTCTACCATTTATAAGGACAAGGGCAGCAGATACATGGGAACACCACCCCCTGCAAGTTCCCCTCACCATTCTGACTTGGAAATATATCACCGTTCCTTCAGTGTCATTGGGCAGGGATCTCCCTGGAACAGAGCCGCACCTCATCCCATGTACAAACAAATAAATAAAAACAGTGTTTGATTCATGTGCGTATGTCAGTGTGGGCTCTGCAGTACAGAGGGAATCTTCATTTTTAGTGGCACTGCCCCTCAGACATGAAGTTAAGTCAGGTCTTTGTCTGCCTCTTCCAGTGATTCAGGTGAATGTTAAACACCCCATGACACTTTAAAGAAGATGACGATCTCAAGGCAACAAGAGGTGGATAATAAACATGGGCACAGCCAGACACTCCCACAATAGTAAAAAGCCTCATGCTTGCTGACATACATCAGCTCCTGTTGACAATACTTACATTTTTAAAATCTCTCCCTATATTTCAAATCCCTCAGCTGCCTCTCATCCCCCTCTATCTCTGTGGCCATCTCCAGCTGTGCAAACCTCTGGGATTTCTCCCATGATGGACTCTTGTGTATCCCCCATTATTATAATTGCTCTACAATTGGCAGCCATGCTTCTACAACTTTAACTGCCTGGACCTTAATACCTGAAGTTCTTTCCCCAAAATCCACCCCCCCACCCACTCTCCTTCTCTCTTTCTCTCTCTGGGATTCTTTAAGATGTTGCACAATATCTAACTCTTTAACCACACTTTTGGTCTTCTGTCTGAAAATTTCCTTAAGTGACCTGGTGTCACCAGGGACAGCGATAAAAATCAGGGGCCCTGCAATTGTTCCTGTCCCTGGACTCCAGTTCCTAGTCCAGGCACAGAGAGCCCGCTGGAGCCCCTACGTCTGGTTATTGGGCCCTGTCCCACGTCCTGGTTATCCAATATTGTCTGCTGGCACAAATTTGGGGCATTTCACTGACTTAAAGGTGTTATATAAATGTAAGATATTGAGTTAGGAGGAAAGTAAAATGGATCTTAGAGGATTTTAGACTGGGCTATAAAGGTGCAAAGATTTCCCTGTTGTATAAACAGTACCATTCACTATGTTTTCTCTCTGTCTAGGGAAGGCACCTCTTCCGAGACCCGACTATAAAGTTCCAGAGCCCAATGGCTGTAGCTCCTCTTTCCTTGGACTCAAGGTACCAGACACTGTATGTATAACAACCTCAGATTCTATTTTATACTCGACACTTTTCAATGATAACTTTATGCTGGCACACCATCTAGACTGGAACTGCAGTGCCAGAACTGAGGGAGTGCTGCACTTCACATTCAATGACGTGTTCGATCTAACCTCTCAAGTGCAAAATGCACAGATTCCATGGTACTATTCAAGGGAGAGCAGAGACCTTAATCCCCTGTTTATGGATCTTTATAATTGATTTAATCAGATTATCTGGCTATTTTGTGCTGTAAGCGGGGGCTTGCTGTCTGCAAATTAACTACCGTGTTTTCTATATTGCAACAATGACTACACTGCAAAAGTACATCTTTGACTGTGAAGCATTTTGGAGTATCAAGGACTATATTTATATAGAGATAGCGGGAACTGCCGATGCTGGAGAATCTGAGACAACAAGGTGTAGAGCTGGATGAACACAGCAGGCCAAGCAGCATCAGAGGAGCAGGAAAGCTGACGTTTCGGGTCTAGACCCTTCTTCAGAAAAATGTATAGATCATTTCTTCTTTGTGGCATGCACTAATGCCAGACAGAAATTAGAGTATGCAGCCCAAACTACTATGGTCATTGTATAGAGCATCAATGGTCTATTGTCCATCAATGGATATGTCCTAAACATCCAATAGCCCCATCAATGAGTATGTCATGTACACCCAATGGTCCCATCAATAGCTGCATCCTATACATCCAATAGTCCCATCAATGAATGTGTCCTTTACACCCAATCAGTAGATGTGTCCTATATACCCAACAGTCCCATCAATGGATGTGCCGTATATACCCAATGGTCCTATCAATAGATGCATCCTACACACTGAAAAACTTTCATCCACTTTAGAACACAATTTTCAAAATAATAGTAAGACATGATGAAACGATTCAGATTTTCTGATGGCAGTCAGGAGGCTGTGTTGATGCCACTATCCAGTATTGATTTCCTGAGTTAAATATTAGTTACGTGGGAACAAGGAGAGACAATCCACCCTCTCAAGCCTGTTTGATCATGATTGGATCTGCACCTTAACTCCACCTATGAGCCATAACCCCTGAATGACCTTACCTCGTTCAAAACTGCTAATCTCAGTGCTGAAAGTTTCAAAAGACCAACATCTCTGGCTCCCAGTGCTGTATAAGATGCAACATGAAGTAATCCTCTACATCAATGTGTACCTCTACATAGAGGTGTACAAGATGATCAGAGGTATAGATAGAGTGGACAGCCGGAGACTTTTTCCTAGGGTGGAGGTAGCTATTATGAGAGGGCATAGTTTTAAAGTGGGTGGAGGTAGGGGAGATGTCAGAGGTAGGTTCTCTACTCAGAGAGTGGTAGGGGCATAGAATGCATTGTCAGAGAGGGTAGTGGAGTCGGCCTCATTAGGGGCATTTAAGTGGCTGTTAGATAGGCATATGGATGATAGTATAATGTAGGGGTGGAGGTTAGATAGACCTTAGGTTTAGGGTAAAAGTTTGGCCCAACATCGTGAGCTGAAGGGCCTGTACTGTGCTGTACTGATCTATGTTCAATGTTCTATGTTCTATCCCATTTGCTTCTGGAGGGCGCTTGCAAATCTCCTTTGTGTGAAAAAGTGCTTCCTAATTTCACTCCTGCACAGATTAGCTCTAACTTTGAAGGGGTGCTGTCCTGTTCCATTGCAGCAGAGGAAGGAGGTTGGTAAGGCCCTCTCTACTGAGTTCCATCAAGTTGAGGAGAATTAGGCCCATCAGAAATTAAGGTTATTATCAGCGTGAAGTCACCAATTGTGAGCTAAATGTAATGATACCAACAACTGTGCTTTTCACACTTTTAGTCAGAATGGTGACCTGAATGTATCTGGTTTACCACTAACATTAATGTAGAGGATTACTTCATGTTGCATCTTATACAGCACTGGGAGCTAGAGAATATGAGTTCTTGATGATAGAGTCATGATGGAGGCATTATTTTCAGTATTAGATGCTTGACTCTGTCCACGGCACCAGACTGCCCTCAAGTGAATATTTTCATTTTACGTTTATCATGGAACAAACTGCAGAATAAATAATTGTTTGGTCATATAGAATTTGGATATGGCTTAAAAAAAGAAAGACACTTCGTGTTGAAACTTTCCATCTTGCACCCGTAAGGAGAATTCCTGTGAACTACAAATGTAAATGCCATGACCTGTCGAAGTTAACTAGCTTGTTTAAATTTGACTAAAGCTTGGTAATTAACTGTCAGTTATCGCCTAACTAGTGCACTCTCCATGGCAACACCTCTACCAATCAAAGTCCATTTTATAATCAGCACTCTCCCCATACAATATAAAAGGACTGTTTTCCCTTTGTTCTTGCAAATTGTCCTGATGAATGCAAGATAAAAGCGTTGACAAAATATGTTTTTTTTGCTGCAGTACAAAATAAATGTGTAATTAGAAGCAGGAAACATTGGAGATTTTGAAGAATTCAGCCAGCATAGATGGCAAGGGAAACAGTTAAGAATTGATGACCTTTTATCAACAATAAATAGACGTGTGTTGTTTGTATCCATTATGGCCTGGTCAGCTCCACATCTCCGCTAATCTGACTGGAGATTACATGGTATCGGGTACAAGTGAGGATGGTGAATATATAAATTAGGAGCAGAGGTAGGCAAATCAGCCCCTCTGGCTTGCTCCACCATAAGATCTGTTTGTGTTTCAGCTTTCACTTTCCTATTTACCCTGATTTACTACTTTGATTCCTCCCTGCCTGACAAGAATCTATCCACCTCATAGTCAATGACCCTGACTCCACCACTTTCTGAGGCAGAGTTACACAACCCTGGGAGAAAAATGAAATCTCCTCATCTCCATCCTGAAAGGGGTGAACCCTGGTGTTAAAACAGTGTCCACTAGTTCTGAACTCACCCATAAGAGGAAACATACTTTCCATTTTCACCTTGTTAAAACCATTCAGGAGATTTTGGATTTGGAAGTTGTGTTTAGTCATGATGGCTTGATGGTTATAAGCATGCAGAAAACTTGATAGAGCTCCTGGTTTTAATAATAACTGTCAATTTTATAAGCCCTTGGTCAGACTGGCCAGCTAAGACATAAGGAGAGCTATGTGTTTAATAGACCAATAGCCATACCTTTAATTAGGTGGCAAAAGACTTTCAGAGATTAACAAGGGTTTTATTGTAAATCTTTAATTTATTACAGAGATCAGGTTCAACCTTTCCCTTCTGGACCTCCTCCCTTTCCAGAAGCCAACATGCCATCGGGGAAGAACCTAGCTCTTTTTTTTAACCAAATAAACCAATTACAACTGACAAAAACTGTCCACCAAGTTATGTTAATAAAAACCACTATCAAAAGGGAGAAACAGGGATTGGGGAGGAGGGAAAACCCAGCTCTTTTTCTGGTAAATAAACACAAAATCCCAATTAACCAAAACATCCAATTAACAAATTACAAACAGTGCTCACTGGAGCAGTGTGACAATAACAGGAATAAAAAAAGTTAATGTTTATGCTCCTCTGATGCTGCCTGACCTGCTGTGTTCCTCCAACTCCACACTGTGTTAGCTCTGACTCCAGCATCAACAGTTCTTTCTATCTCTGGGTGCTATATCAAAACACAGCTGTAGGGGGGGCAATTATGTACCACAACCCCTATGGTATCTATCCCTAAATGCTTCAAGGCTATTGTTAGTGACTTTAGAGGTTTATGTAATCATGAAGGGCATAGATAAAGTGAATGACAAGTGTCTTTTCCCTTGAGTGGGGGAATTCAAAACTAGGAAGCATATTTCTAAGTTGACAGGAGAAAGATTTAAAAAGGATATTGGGGTACTTTTTTTACACAGAGAGTGGTTTGTGTGTGACAAACTGCCAGAAGAAGATGCAGTGATAACAGTTTAAAAGACATTTGGATAAGTTCTTGAATAGGAAAGGGTTGGAAGGATATGGGCCAAGCGCAGGCAGGTGAGACTAGTTTAGTTTGGGGACATAGTCGGTATGGACTAGTTGGACCGAAGGGTCTCTTTCCACACTCTATGACTCCTTCACCCTAGCACAAATGTAACCAAATAACCCAGCTTTTTATTTCAGAAACACCCAAACAATTCACAAATGACCACAAACACTGGCTGCCAAAGGCAGTGTGACAATAACAAAGAAATCAAGGAAGGAGGGGAAGAAAGGGAGGAGACAAAATCAAAATGGGGGAGATAAGAGCAGTGAACAGTGATGTTGGTCAACAACACATCGTTGCTAAGTGTCAGACACGTTCACAAACTATTGAGTTCTGTGGGCTGTTGGGAGTCTGGGGAGAATCTGGTTCCAGACTTTGAAATCTGCCCCTGCAATTACTTTCCATCTGTATTTCAGCTCGACTTAGGGATCCCAGCCATGACAAAGTGTTGTAACCAGCTTGACCTTTGCTATGACACTTGTGGAGCCAACAAGTACCGGTGTGATGCCAAATTCCGTTGGTGCCTCTATGGAATCTGCTCGGATCTCAAGAAAAGTTTGGGCTTCGTATCAAAGGTCGAAGGTCAGTATTTTAATCAGAAAGATGGCAACATCATTAAGATACTTAAGATTTAGATTAAAGACACAAGGATGCTTAGGGGACATATTGGATGTAGCATTAAAGACCAGATGGTTAGAAAATGGATGGCTCTTGGAACAAAAACATGAAAAGAATCGAAAAACACAACAGGTTCCTCAGTGTCTGGAGAGATAACACTTTCAGCCTAAAGCTTTCACTAGAACATTTTTTTGTTAGTATTTTAGAATCCCAGCAGTTGTTTGCAGTTTTGTGTTTTATTTTTATTTCTGTATCCCTTGTTCTATTGGTCATTGTGGCTTAATGAGTAGCACTGTCCCAAGTCAGCAGGTCATAGTTTTTAAGACTTGCTCCAAAGAATTAGCACATTATCCAGACTGACTGTCCAGGGTAGTGCTGGTGGAGTTGGAAGCACCATCTTTCTGGATCAGAGAGTAAACCAAGATCCCACCTGCACTCATGGACGAAGAAGGGCTGGGGAGTTCTGCCTATTGCCTTGGTCAACATTTATCTATCAATCAATATAGTTAAAACTCACATGGCCTGGCCATCACCAAATTATTTCAATGTAGGACTCTTGTCAACAAATAATGTTACTGGAGTGGTGAGACAGACAATGAGATTTCCTTTGGCAGCTGATAGGGCTCCAGCGTTAAATTGTCAGAGTTGGAGAGCCATGTCCTATTGCCATAAAGCCAGAGGGTTGCTCAATGTTGAGACTGTTGGTTCAGAGGGTACTGCGATACCTCAAGTGAGTTGAACAGGATTCCCAGGGGTGTCAGGGCACTGATAGGACACATGGTATGAGCATTGATTTAGTGTCTCCCTGTACAGACTAAGTAACAGATTAAACACCTTGAACTCAGCAAATGAGGAGGAAAACTCTTCACTCTGAGGATTTTTATTGGCTAATTCATAACAATAATCTTGTGCACCAGTTCACTGTCCCGATATGTTACAAATGTGATAGCATCATGAAAATACATAAAGTGCTTTGGGACATCATGGGGGAAAGCATCAATTAAATGGAAGTAAGAGATAACAGTGTGGAACTGGAGGAACACAGCAGGCCAGGCAGCATTAAAGGAGCAGATGACTCCAGCATCTGCAGTTCTGGCTATCTCAATTAAATGGAAGTTCTTTCTTTCAGCTTGTGAATCCGTGGCAGATACCATGTTCAATGCTGTCTGGACATTGGGTTGTAAACCTTTCATGAACAGTCAGAGATCAGCCTGCGTGTGCAATGAGGAGGAAAGAGACGAGCTTTGAAGATAAAGGTCGCACAATTTGTGTATGTGTGTGTGTGCATGGGTGTGTGTGTGTATACAATGCGACTCTCCATAACACCAGAAGACCTCTCCTGCTCTGTGATGACATATACATATCGCATTCCTTTCCATGTATATATGTTGTAACTGTCTTCACTGATACTTGTACATACAACACTGGAGCTACCAGCTGGTACTGTAACTTATTTATTTCAGGCTCTTTCCATAGAATAAGGCAGTGCAGAAGGAGGCCATTTGGTCCTTCATCTTTGTGCTAAGTTTATAATTTATCATAATTTTATATCAATTCATGAGAAACAATGACTACCAACTGCCAAATATTTTGGAGCAATTTTGGAGACCAATGTGATCACAGAATATCTTGATATTTTGCATGCACATTCTTCCCTCCCTTTCAAATGTTAATTTCTTCCTCCGTATTTGTGTCACATGCCATCCTAAGAGTGTGCTCTTTGTTATCTATTTGTGCCAACCTGTCGGGATTGGATAATAGCTACAGTAATGTCTGGGTTTATCTCAGAAGTGACTGTCAGTGTAACTGGACTTGATGCCAAGCCTGATGTTGGGAAATGGTGCATGAGGATAAATCAATAGTCATTCACCTCAGGGAGTCATCCCCCCACCTAAGGGAATGTTGTCACCACCCCTTCCTTTCCCACCAGGCAATGTAACAACAACTACTTTCATTTGTCTAACCTTTTTAACTTCATGAAGTGTTCTGAGTTGAAGCACGTGAGCAATATCAAAGTAAACTGAATGCTGAGCAAAATAGGGAGGTCTCATATGACCAAAGTGATAAGTTCTCCAAGGACCTTCTTAAAGGAGGGGAGAGGGTTCAGGAAGTGAATTCAAGAACATATGGCCTGATTTACCATGAGAACTGTCGATGCTGGCACTGTATCTTCAGTCCCTGTTTCCAGGACGCACTGTTACACTCGTGATGGACATGGTAGACAGGAGGATGATAAATGTACCACTTCCCTAGTGGCTGCTGTCACACTGGTAGCCCTGGGATACAGCACCTTCACCACAGATAGATACTGATTACTGTCCAATGGAGAAACAGGCCATTTGTGCACAAGGTGTGTTTTAACAGTGTACGGCCACAGAAGTAAGCTGTTCCCAAGTCAAAATAAAGTACTTGGAGAAATTTAGCAACTTTTGGTGGGGAGGTGACAAGGTTTAATATCCTGATTTCAGTATCAAAACTCAGCTGTGTTTCACTATTACACTTTCCTGAATGTTTTTAATGGGACGCTCTTGTAATACAGTGACAACGTCCCTGCCCCTAGACTAAGGGGCACGGTTTCAAGTCCCATCTGCTCCAAAGGTGTGTTGTAAAATCTCTGAGCAGGTTTATTAGAAAAATAGGTTAAATAAAATATTTAAAGAAGGTGAAACGCTCAAGGCTCACCGTTGAAAAATCTGATGTCTCTGTGGGCCTCTCTTCTCAGATCCTCTGGGATCTGTGGGGCCCAGCCTTGCTCTACAAGGTACATTCCTTCCCATCTGCAACAACGCCCATTGCTGAGTGCCACAGATCACAGACACTGTGCATATCACAAATCATCTGCCCTGTTGAGTGCATAATGTTACAGGTTGACTTTTCCATCGTGGTCCATCTTGCAGAATCTTCTCCATCTGTATGTGGAGTGGTTTCATTGAGTCATTTCCAAAGTCATGATTGCAAGAAGAAGGCCATTCAGCCCATTGGGCCCGTGCCATTTCTTTTGGGGCTTGGAGCTCAAAAGTGACAATATTTTGTGGTGAGGGAGGTGGAGAATATTTCATGTTGACAATGAACAAAATTATGCCAAGCCAAATGTTCTGTTATTTAAATAAATCTTTACAAACGTGGCTCAGGCATACACTTCAAGTGGGAACTATGGGCCTGGAGATCAGTCTGTGTCGTGTATTTCTGATGGCTTAGTATATACATACCCAGTGGTAATGTTGGGAATGAGTGCATGTGCAAATCTTTACGTGTGAGCAGTTGTGTACATGCATGAGCATCGCATGTGTGTATGAGCCCGTGTGCGCTTGTGAACATACATGTGCACATAACAGAATATTCATGAAGTTGCCGCATAACACACGTGGACACATCACAAGATCTCAGGTACAAGGATTTTCTCCTGTTTCCATGTAAACATTTAAACTTTGACTATTACTTGGGAACATTTTGATCATCAAATATTAGCAGTTATCAGCAGCAATAATGCAGGTTGTAATAATAATCGATACACATAATACATTGTTTAGCAAGCTAGATTAAATATTTGAACAAGGTCAGAATTGGTGGCAGTTTGTATCCTCAATCAAAAAATACTATTGTTACTGAGATGAAAGAAGGTATAAAGTCAGAAGTTCAACCCAAGACTAAATAATACTGACATCAAATAGCATGATCTAGCCTGAGGCAGGAGCGAGATAGGATCAATAGGCAGGACATGGTGATAATGCCATTGACAACTTGGTCTTCCTAGTGTTTAATTGGAAGAAATTTCACCTCAGGCAGGACTGAATGTTGGAAAAGCAGCAGAAAATATAGTTTGTGGGGGTAGAGCTTGAGACATGTTGTGATGAGGTAAAATCATAGAGTCATAGAGATGTACAGCACAGAAACAGACCCTTTGGTCCAACTTGGCCACGGCGACCAGATATCCTAAATTAATCTAGTCCTGTTTGTCAGCATTTGGCCCATATCCCTCTAAACATTTCCTATTCATGTACTCATCCAAATGCCTTTTAAATGTTTAATTGTACCAGCCTTGAGAAAAGAGCTTGGTGTCATTCACCTCTATGTAAACGATAATGTCTTCAATTGTTATCATTGTATAGCAGGGTGTAGATAGACATGGGAAGGGACAAAGATCCTGGCGAACTCCAGAGTTAGTGGAGTTGGAATAGGACAAAAAGCTGTCATGGGAGATTCTCTGGCTCTGACTGACTAGACAAGGCTGGAACCACAGTATAAGAGGTAGCAAAGGATCTTGGATGTTAACCAGTAACTACGGAAAATGTTCTAGGGAAGCAAATTGGTCGAAAGGAAGGAATGCCTGAAAGGTTGCATCCTAGACTTTTTTTATATGAAGTAGCTGCAGAGATAGCATTGGCAGCAATCTTCCAAGAATCTTTAGATTCTGGAAAAATCTCAGAGGATTGGAAAAACCGTCAATTTTACATCCTTGTTCAAAAACGGAGTGAGAGATGACAAAAGGCAGTTATAGGCCAGTTACCTGAATATCTGTTATTGGAAAATGTAATTGAAGTGAAAATGAAAATAAGAGATCTAATAGCAGAGCATTTAGGAATGCATAATTTAATCAAACAGTCAATATGGCATCACAAAGGGGAAATCCTGCCTGAAAGGAATATGTTAGAATTCTTTGAGGAGGTAACCTGCAGGATGGATAAAGGAATTCAATAATATCCTGCATGTAAGGCTACCTAATAAGATCCCATGGTGTTCGGGGTTACATATTAATATGAATAGAGGACTGGCTAACAAATAGAAGACAGAGGGTTGGGACAAAGAGGAAATTTTCAGGAGAGCAGACTGTAAATCGTGGAGTGACACAGGGATCACTGCTGGGGCCGCAATTATTGACAATATATATTGATAACTTGGAAGATGGAAGTGAATGTATTATCAGCAAATTTACGGATGACATAAAATTAGATGAGAAGGCAAGTGAAAGAGATCCTAAACAGGGAAATAAACAGGTTAAGTGAGTCAGCAGGCGGAATACAATGTGGGAATATGTGAGGTTATGCAATTTGGCAGGAAGAATAGAGGAGCTGAATATCATTTAAAGAATTGCGGAATCAAGGGAAAAGACAGGAAGGTGGTGTTAAGGATTATCAGAACAGCTACAATCTCATTGGATGATGGAGTAGACTTGATGAACTGAAAAACCAACCTCTTGCGTCTTAAGGTTTTAGGTGAAAGAGCAGCAAGTCTGAAAATTGACAGGAAAGAGAGAGGAAATACATGCTTCATTCACACATTGTCAACAAAGGATTTGATTCCAAATACAAATTGAAATATACTGGGGCATCTTTATTAAAGTGGTATAATTACACGTGACTAACATTAAGGTATTATTTTCAAACAGAAGGTTAAACATTATTCTATTGTGTGATATTTGTCTTGTATGTATAACAAGGTAGTCATTTTTCATTAATACTAGAAAACAAACTGGCTATGTTCCACAAAAAAAAGAAGGAATGATTCATTTTTTTTTGCTTTTTGTGACCTATGCACAAATTAAAAGATCTTCAAAGTGATGGATGGAATGTTGCGGTAGCTCCAGGTTCCATTATTCTGTGTCAATCACAATTGGCCCTCCAGTGAGCAGATGGTCCCTCATGTGGCCTGTATCCTCTGGCTCGGTGGATCTGCGCATCCTCCTTCGGCATCCCTGGGAGCAACGTGACTTGGTGTCCTGGGCCCCACACACCAGGACTCGGCAGTGCAGGTACACTTTCTGCAGGGCAAGGAGACCAAGTGTCAGTGCACAGTTGCAGCCTCCATTCTAAAGGCCGGGGTGCACACAGAATCACTTATACAAGACAGAAAGAGGCCATTCAGCCCATTGTGTGTGTTAGAGCTTGATGACTTAGATGAAAGTGGCCTAGTGGCATTATCACTGGACTGTTGATCCAGAGACTCAGGTAATGTTCTGGGGACCCAGGTTCAAATCCTAGTACGACAGATGGTGGAATTTGCATCAATAAAGAAATCTGGTATTAAGAGTCTCATGTTGATTGTTGGGAAAAACCCATCTGGTTCATTAATGCCCTTTAAGGAAGGAAACTACCATCCTTACCTGGTCTGGACTAGATGTGACTCCAGACCCACAGCAATATCATTCACTCTTAACTTCCCTCTGGAATGAGCAATAAATGCTGACCTAGCCAGTGACACCCTCATCCCATAAATGAATTCAAAAAAAATTCTCACTTCATGCCTTTTCTGTTTAATTTTTTTTCTGCTAGTTTATTTTTATATTCTTCCATGGGATGTTACCATTGCTGGTGAGGTCAATATTTGTTACTCATCCCTAACTGAGGGGCTTGCTTGACCATTTACTAAGGGTGGGTTAAGGGTAAACCACATTGCTGTGGGTTTGTAACCACATGTAGGCCAGACCAGGTAGAGACAG